CACCTTTTTATATGATTTTAATATAAAAATATGAATTGCAATATCACAACTTATTTTTTATATGATTTTAATAATATAAAGATTGTATTGCAATATTTCAGTGCACTTTTTTATAATTTATAATTACTTAAAATCAAATTTACAGTAAACTATACATATAAAATTTAAACATAATATAATCTTATATAGATCTCTTATAACATATATATTTAATATTTGATTTCTATCTAATATATATTTATACTTTATTGGCTAGAACTTTTTAGGACCTAGTCCACTTCTGGTCCAAAATTTGGACCTAAAGATCTGCAGACCAGGTTCTAAGATCAGGTCTTTAGGTCCAGGATCTAGGACTTTACTATCCCTAAATATAACATGAAAAAAATTGATTCAGTATTACAAACAGCTGAAATTAAATTTATTTATAGCATATATAGTATATTACAAAAAAAAACTGGAATTAAAAAATTGATTATAACACTATAACACTATGATGATTTCACCAAATTATATGTAAAATAGTTTATTTGAAAAATGAAAACCTACAATTTTATTAATAATATATTATGATTCAATGCAAAAAGATTTGTACATTACTAAAAAAGGATAAGATTTACATTAAAGAAAAATTTTGTAAAACTAAATATAATAGGCTGAGATTTATATATTTATCAGTAAATAATTGCCTGAATTTGCTACTAAAAATTTTTTTATTATATAATATTTTCTTCTTCCTTAAAATAAAGTGGCATATTACTAATAGATATGTCTCTTATACACATCTAGATGTGTATAAGAGACAGACTAATGATAATAAAATATGCATAATTATCTTTTAAAGGCTAATTTTACAAAAGAAAATCATTTAGAGCTTAAATTATATAAGTAAGTTGCTGAAATACTAATTGTATTAAGAGTACAGTTGAAAGCATTGCATAGACTGGAATAAGTACAGTAATTGCATATTTACATCATATAAAATACTTTGAATGGCCTAATCCAACTTTAAGCATAAAAAACTGGAAGTCAATATTGTTTGTTTTTCAAATGAATTACAAAAAATTAGAATTATTAGAGCTGGTTTAATATACAAAAAAATGTTACCATTTTTTTGCATTAAAATAGTAAAACAATATGATTATGAAATTTTTATACAGTATATTACCTATTATTATGAATTACAACTAATTAAAAATATTTAAGCAGTTGTAAAAGGTGACATTATAAGATTCTAAATTATTACCTGTTTGAAATACACTTTTAAATACATTAAAAAATAAAGTTAATTTAAAGATTATAGTGAATTTTAAAAAAAAGTGCTTAAAATACTAAAGTAGAAGTATACTTCAAATCTGGTTAATCTGAATATTTGATTATCCATCTGAAATTTTACTGGATTCAAATTGATCCAGATGATTCATCAGATTAATTGAATAGATTATCAGATATCTGATTCACTAATTTGACTGGATAGTTGACTGGATATTTGAATAATTCAGTCAATTCGGTGAATCTGATGAATCTGAATTCAATTTTTTCTATTTCTTAATACTTTTATTAATATTAACAATTAGAATTTTTTTAATAATAAATATAGTATTTATTTTTACGTTATTACAAATGATTTTTAACAAATTAGTTAACATAATATAAAAAATTTAAGATTTGGATTGAATTGGTTTGAAGACTTCTAAAAAAAAAAGAGAACGTTAAAAACTATTTAAAGACTAAAAAAATAAAAAATTCCTTTCTAACTTATCTTTATATTTTTAACTGAAATCCAGATCTGAAAAGGCATTCCTTTAAAAAAAAAGAAGCAAAAGGAATATTAGTTACATTCCTAAAAACAAAAAAAAACAAAAATACCTTTCCTCAACTTACCTTTCATAGGTCGAAAAGTGAAGAATCAGTCACCAATCGGTCACCAATCAGGTAGCTGATTAGTGACTAATTAGTGACTGATTAGCATTTTTGCTAAATACCGTTACCAATCAGACAATTTACTAACTTTTGATCCAATGATCAGAAAAGAATGAAATATAGCTCATTGGAATCGTCTCAACAAGACGAATCTAATGGTAGTAAAACCGCATTTTTAGGATTAATACATGATGAGAAATTATAGCTCATTGGAATCGTCTCAACAAGATGAATCTAATGGTAGTAAAACCATATTTTTAGGATTAATACGTGATGAGAAATTAAGTAAAATATAAAAATAAAAATATCTTATTTATATTTTATTTAATTTTTTATTAACTATTAATCCTAGAAATGCGATTTTATTACCATTAGATTCGTCTTGTTGAGACGATTCCAATGAGCTATATTTCATTTTTTTCTGATCACTGGATTAAAAGTTAGCAAACTGCCTGATTGGTGACAGTATTTGGCGAAAATGCCAATCAGTCACCAATCAGTCACCAATCAACTACCTAATTGGTGACCGATTGGTGACTGATTGATGCCTGATTTTTCACTTTTCGACCTGTGCCTTTTTTCTATTTTTTGTTTTGTAATGGATTTTGTGGACTTTCCGTTTAGACTACTAAGAGAAGAGGATCTCTTTAAAAATAAGTATACATATAGCACAGAATATATTCTCATGGCACAATATCCACCTAATAGTGTACATGTGAGGTCTTTGTAAGAAGATGACGAGTGGTTTAGACTTACTAAATTAGTTTAAATTTTTTGTATTTACTTGTGTATGTAGTATGAATTTATTTTTATTAATAAAGTTCTAAATACGCTGCAGTCAATAAAAAAAAAATAAGTTTATTATTAAAATTTATGTATTCTTTTAAATTATTTATTACTTATTTTATTGTCTTTTCAATATACATAGATGGAGTAGTCTTTATTATACTAGACAATTTTAATAGAAATTAATCAAGTAAGTTATTTTTTTTTTTGTATTAATTTGCATTGATAAGAAAGTTAAAAATTAGAATTATATTAGTGTTAGATTAATTAGGATTAGAATTAGGATTAAAATTAGAATTAGAGTTAGGAGGACCCCGGATATCTAATATAAAGGTCATAATGGACTTTTGGCCAAAAACACCCCTTTTTGCTGAAACTCAATAAATCGTTTTTTGTAAATATCTCAGCATCCAGTAATTCAATTTTAATGAACTTTTTTTTATTTTGTAGCCCTCATTTAGCTCTACAATTTAAAAAATAGTTCATCAAAATTGGACCACTGGATGCCGAGATATTTACAAAAAACGATTTTTTGAGCTCCTGAAAAATGGGCCAATCTGCCGAAAGTGTGACTTATGACCTGTTTTGGAGATATCCGGGGTCCTGAGTTAGGGTTAGATTAGGATTAGAGTTAGTTAGTTATAATTAGTTAGTTAGGATTAGCTAATTAGAATTGGTTTGTTAGGGTTTAAAATTAGGAATTGGAAATTAGAATTAGAAGAAATTTCATTATATTTTATTAATTTTCTATATAAGTTATGAAATCTAATTCAACATTTAGTAATATAATTAAATATGAATATGATTTACCATAAATTCAATTATATGAAATTTTATATTAGATATACTAGTTAATAATTTTTAAGAATTACTATTGAAGATTTCTTATATTACTACTACTTTTTCATAATGCTCTAAAATAAGTCAAGTTAACTTACAAATTGGTTAAGTCAAATTGAATTGAAAATTACAATCAAATCAAATTTAATAAAATTGAATTAAGTTAAGTTAAGTCAAATTTTTATAATTCTAGCCAAAATTATAAAATAAAAAATTTTTGAAATTTACAAAAATGAAATTTTGTGGAATGGCTATTATTAAAAAAGAAAATGATTAATATAGTAAAAAAATCATATGATTTAACTTAACTTAACTCAATTAATTAACCAACTCAACTCAAATCAAGTTGAGTTTATATTTTTTATAATTTTAATTTGACTTAACTCAACTCAATTTAATATAAATTAAGTTAAGTACTCAAGTTTACATATAATTCGATTTAACTTGATTCATTCAAAGTACTACTTTTTTATCACCTACTATACTATATTATATTGTAATTTTTAAGGATTCATTATCAATTTGTATCTGCATGAGTATTATAAATAAAAATATGCTACTATATAGGCATTCAAATAAGATAATATTTTATATTATATTTATTAATAATCGTTAGTTTAAAGTAATTCCATTTGATACAAATAAATATTATATATGATTATTCAGAAAATAAAAACTAGTGCAAATATTTCTTTGCAATATATTAAATAAATTAGATTTACCAATATTTGTATATTAGCTACTAAAGAAAAAGTTAATTTGGTACTGTAATGTCATTAGCAAAAATAAGTGTTTAAATTGCAATATCCATGACAGAATTTATTGGGATACTTATATAATTCAACATGAAATACTATTATAATACTGGATTTGATATAGAATAAACTTAACATTTATCTATAAAATTCAATCAAAAAGCTAGGTACTTTTGACTAACTTAGATATATATCAACAATAATTACAATATTCTAATTCAGAATATCATAGACTGAAAGGAAGACTTTCAAAAAAAAAATATAAATCATTAATAGAAGAAAATTCTATTAAAAATACTTTGTCTAAAAAGTGTAGTTATAATTTGAATAAAAGACATAATATTTGAAGTTATGCAAAATACAAGGTTGATAAGAAGAATAGTATTACAAATTATTAAAGCATTTGGGCATTAAGTTTTTTAAATTTAAAGCAATTTTCTTGATGTATTAGTATTAGCATTATATTGTTAATTGTAATATTTTTATTATTTTTATTGCATTTCATAATTAAAATATAATTTTATTATTTTGTAATGCATAATTAATAATTATTTTATTTATCACATGAATTTGCCATCAGTAAAAATTACCACCGGTTATAAATAGCAAATTTGTAAAAATTATTATTTAACTAAATATATTATAATTAATAGTAATATAAATTTCTAAAAGCTTTTACTAAAATCTCTATTTTGTAAATTAACAAAGATAAATTATGCCATATAAACGTGATGCCAATGCATTCATACCATTATCGGTTGTTGCAACAATTTGGAATTTTTCTGATTGAATTGGATTACAATAATGATAATAAATACTATTGTTATTACTAGTAATAGGTCCTTGAATAATATCTTCTTCATGTAATGGTGGACTTGGCCTTGTAATGTCTGCAATACAGATATGACCCTTAACTGTATCTGCCCATTCTTTACCACTTAGAGTCTTTGTGGTAATACTATCACCTCCTGAATCTGACCAATCATATACAAAAATAGCACCATTTCTTCCAGAATATTCAACAGCAACGTCAAAATTTGGTGTACAATAAATGCCAGGGCCAAATTCATTATTTATTGCGTTGGAATATGGTCTTGCATATGCAATAAAAAAAGGAATGATAATTGAGGTACGAACTCCATGATATAGGAAACGCTGATTTGGTTTAATTTTTAGTGGTTCAAGCATTGTAGTTTGATCCCTATATTTGGGAGGCTTTTGGACTTTATAGATGATTATATGATCTGGATAACGCTTAGTGATTCCAGGTATGAGTTTTCCGGGTTCAACAGATGCAGCTCTTTCATTTACCCAGCTAGGTATTTGTCCTTTTTTACATTCAAACTCTGGGTACAATTTTAAATGTTGAAAGTACAAACCATGAAGAATAACTTCACGTATAACAAAGGGTTCCATTGAAACTCCAATAGGAATCTCAATTTGATCTTTCCACAATCTTATTTCATAATAATCAAAACTAAATTTACTGAGTAATTTTCGAACTTGTTTACATGATAAAATCACTACAAAGTTCAAAATGTAATTTAATACATAAAATGATTAGTACAATTAAATAAAAATATTATACATACTTTCAAGATTATCATTAATGCTTTCTCTCTTTGTTTCTTTTGACATCTGGAATTGGTTTAACAAATGTTTTTTCAAAGTAAAATAATTTTGTAGGAATAATTTGATTATTCTTAAGGTGAGAATTATTTAATTGGATTAGTTATATATATATACATTTTATGCGCAGTTCAATATTAACAATTAATAATTAATAATAATTATGAGAATTTCTATGCGGCTATACCAAAATGTCCATTGCTTTTTGAGTAAACAAAGGACATGTCATTACATATCAAATTTAGTTAAAAATAATTAAAAATAATAATATTTATATTTTATATTGTTATACAAAATACAAACATGAGATTATTCACACATCTGAAAGTTGACATATTACGCCACTAGAAAGTTTCGCATTATTATTACTGTAATAAGTTAATATTGTAAAAAAAAAATATCTAATCCTACATATCTAATTCAACTTTAATATATGACATAAATATGTAAAAGTAATTTTCTTGTAACATGTTAAAATAGAAACAATCAAATTTAAAATTTAAGAATCTAATAAATACGACATCAAGATTATCTTTTTTTGCTGGTGACTACATTGTTATGATCATACAATACAAAAATTATTAAATTACGTATTCTTCAATTCTTAACTGATTTAACTGATGAAAAAAAATTTAGCTAAATAGTGAATACGCCTTCAATTGAAAAAAAATTAATAATGTTACACTTAATCCTAGAATTTCATTACGTGAAAGATACTGATTATCTGTTTGCACATATTTGATCAATGATCTGGTAATAAATAAAATTTTCACACGAAAGCATTTTATATTGCAGCAATTAAACAATGATCGATTTTTTGGGAATTAGGACGTGAATTAGGACGAATGAGCTATCAAAACTTTTGGACGAAGCCCAGTTTCACTGATCCTATTCCGAATCATGCCAAAAGAATAAAATGTAATCTAGACCCCAGATTGTCAAATCTACTTCGAATTCAACTACTGCGGACTCCGGAATTATCCTACTAAGGCCATTCCAAACTAATAATTAGTTTAACGTCCTTTCTGGCTGAAAAATTTGAGGGGGGGGAGGGGTGGGAATAATTTAAACAAATATGATATTTAAACATATTAAAATTTTCGGAAGTTTTTGGTAAAATCAGAAATATTCAGTACACCCAATTTCAGAAAAGAGAGGGGTGCTTTAAACATATGTGAACATATGTGTAAATTATTTTAAATTTTCAAAAATAGAGGGTCGTTAAACTAAAAATTAATTTGAAATAGCCTAAATAGGCATGTGATGAATTAAATAAGCTGACTGTGACCCTTGAATAACGATCTCGAAGTTGGGCAATTTTTTTACTGCGTATTAATTGTCTGATAAAACATGTTATTACATAACACAAAAGTAATGCAATTAGAATTGTAAAAAATAAAGTATTTTGATCATCATTTGATGTCAACTATCGTTGAGTAGTATTTCACAAAAACACAAAAACCCCTCGATTTTAATAGACAAAGTCTTCCATATGTCTAATGCACAATATCTCGGTTTCTGCTGATACGACCACTTTTTTAGTAGACACAAAAACCCCATATTTCTACATTGATGTATCCCTCCAGTTTTATAGTTAGAACGTATTCCGGTCAATACTTTGTTATTCATTGAGAACCTGGTGATGGTCATTAATAGGTGGATTCTGGACTAGATCATGTTTCTCTGAAACGTTCAATCCTTCGAAAGACTAAACCAAGGACAGTAGTATTCCGAGAAATAAGTGAAACGTAATCTTTTAGATACCATTCGATGAAGCATAGCGCTCAATTTCGATATTCTGAGTATTTCGATGCTCTATTAACGAAATCAAGTAGTCATCTAATTGGGATAAAAAAAGCACTGATCACGTGACCCTGTAAAAAATCATCACATCCGTCACACCCCTCAGTGTTTGCACGTCTGAAATGTGTGCCAGGTTGACGGCGCAGTGTGGCGCAGTAATTTCAAAAAGATTTAAGTTAAAGATTTTCTTTTTAATGTAAAGCTTTCAAATTTACACATTAGATGTATTTTCATCTGTTTTACAAAATTCACTTATGAATGGAAGGAGGTTTTGGAAGTAGATTTTGACTTTAGTATATAACAACCGATTTTATCGACTTTGCCGATCATTTCCAAAATTGGATTTGTCGAAAGAACAGTTTTTGTTAAATAACTCGAAAATGGCCTTCTAAACCACCCGTATATGCTCTAAGTAAATTTGCAGAGCGGACAAAAATACACCTAATGCAGGAATTTAAAGGTTTTATTTTAAATAAAAAAAATTGCAATTTATTTTTTTTAGAAAAAATCGCTGTGCCACACTGCGCCATCAACCTGGCACACATTTCAGACATGCTCAGTGTTTTCATTGTCGAGTTGATAAAAACTTATTCGTCCCACGTTATCTGTCACTGCCGCACTGTTCACGTGACTGTGCATAATTCCGCATAATGCCGGCCACCAGTACTTTTTTTGGGGTAACGCTAGGGTAGTTCTGATACTGGGGGTGTAATGTTTTAAAACCAACTCCCGTTTTTTTATTTTTAATTTAACTATTATTAAAAAAAAATTTTTTTAATATTTAATTATTGTAATTATATTAATTATATGAAAAACTAGCAATATAAAATTGTTCATTTTATCGCATTAAAATTTTGAGCAACATTATTATTAGTATATAATTTAAGTAATACTTGAATCATCATAAAAAGCTATTTTAGTGAAAAAGAATTTCTTTATTTCTTTACATTAAGAAATTATTTCTACTGAAATGGATGGCTATTAGGTTATGAAATTAATGAATTATACGTGATATATATTACTGATTATGCTAATATTAATATTCTATAATATTAAGTTAAATTATGGGATGATTGTCTACTTTTTAGAATCTTTCCAATGTAAAATTCGCCTGCTTTATAACTACTTCTCACTAAGGGTCCTGATGCAGTATATAAAAATCCCAAATCATTACCAATTTTTGCCCAATAATCAAATTTTTCCGGTGCAATATATTCATGAACTTTCATATGTCTTTTTGTTGGTCTCATATATTGACCCAAAGTAATGCAGTCAACATTAATTTTACGTAATTCTTTCATTGCATCTAAAACTTCATCATCTGTTTCACCGACACCAAGCATTATACTGGTCTTTGTAATCAAACTTGGTTTTATTTTTTTTGCATGCTCTAATACGCTCAAGCTTTGTCTAAATGTCGCTCTTCGATCTCTCACATGAGAAGTCAAATTCTCAACTGTTTCAATGTTATGTGCATAGACATCTAAACCAGAAGTTGCAACTTTCGCTACACAATCAAGATTGCCTTGAAAATCTCCGGTAAGGCATTCTATAAGGATATGTGGTGCTCTACAAAAATTATTTAATTAACAAATATTCTATATAAACAGATGAAATTATAAAATTAAAATTAAAGTATACTTTTTTTTTAGTAAACGAACAGTATTTGCAAAATGTTCTGATCCTCCATCTGATAAATCTTTAGAATTTTCAATTTTAATATCTAACATATATCATATATGCATGTTAAAGAAAAATTTGTGTACAGTACCATCTCTATCTACAGAAGTCAATACAACGTAGTCCAACCCCCATTTAGAAATCGCGTGGGCCACATTCTCTGGTTCATTTGGATCTAAAGGTTTTGGAGTTTTATTTGTTTTTACGGAACAAAATCTACAGCCTCTTGTACATTCATCACCCATTAGCATAATAGTCGCGGTAGCAGTTTTATGTTCACCTCCACCCCAACAATCACCAATGTTTGGACATCTTGCTTCTTCACAAACCTATAATATAATTTCGTGATTACACTTTATATAAACTACAAACTAATATTATTATTTACCGTATGGAGATTCAAACCTCTTAGATCACTTTTTATTCTAGCAAAGTTAGCTCCAACGGGGACTTTTGTTTTGAGCCATTCTGGAAGTCGTTGATAACTTCAGTATTTAAAAGATATCGAGAAATTTTTTGGTAATTAATCTTTGCTTTAACTTCTACTGATAAGAATAGAAATGTCTAAAAGACTATAATATGCTTACGGTGTTTTCTTGCTCCTTTTTTCATCAGATTTTAATGTATTTTTCGATTCTAAATTCAATTTTTCTGTTTTCAAACTTGTAATGATAAAATCATCTAGGCCTGGTCCAGATGCAAGCTCTTTGGAAAATTGAGAAAGTCTAGCAGAACTTCCAGTTTGATCAATATTTGTATTATGCTGTTTCGAAACAGTGGTGGAATGTTGAATTTGCTAACAGTTAAGAAGGTACAATTTCAAGTTCAATGTTTATAATAACATTTTACGAAACAAATATTAACCTACCGAGTAAGTAGAACTTGATCTTAGTAAAGATCTAAGAGCAGGAAAAGCATTTTGAACACGCGAAACTCGCACTGAAATCATATTTTTGAACTAGCACTTTTGCTCTGTAACGCAGGCAAATTTGCTTGCAAATCATAGTGGTACGATTTACATGTGATATTTAATCAGCTGATGGTGCAATTATATGTTTAAAGATTTCGATGCAGCAAATTTTAATTAATAAATAAATTCACCCTGTCATTCCATTTTCTCATTAGTAATAAATAAAAGAATTATAGATCGTAGAAGTATATTTATAGATTATGAAATTGGATGGCCTAGTGGTGGCCTGGTTCAGTTCATAGTGCAAAATTCAAAATGTTTCTAAATTATAAAAGGAAATACATTTTTACCTCGAGTTTATCCCTTAACTACTTTTTTGATTAAACCATTCTATAAATCTTAATGAGTTAATAACTAACATATTTGTTAAGATCAAAGTCACGTGAAATCAAAAAAAAAAATTAAAATAATCAGATTTTCAATTATCGAATCCACTTAACCTCTTTCGCCAAAATGCTTCTCTTAAAAAACTTTTAAAAGCTGAAGGAAACATGCTTGGCCGAATAAAAAAAATGAGAACAGCTTTTAATTAAATTCTTGATAAAAATGAACTCACAAAAAGTTTCAGGAATCTCGACATCCGTAAATCAACAAACAACAGCCAATAAGGCAAGAGCTAAAGAAACCATAAAAGCACTTCCTGGTTTTCTTATCGGTGGTGCAGCTGCATGTTCTGCAGTTACATTTACAAATCCGTGGGAGGTTGGTTGAGTTAGGATTTCATTTCTATTGACTTTTTTTAAAAAAAGTGTTAACAACATCTATTCAGGTTGTGAAAACTCGATTACAACTTCAAGGAGAATTGACACGCAGTAATTCGAATTACGTAAAACCTTATAGAAATATATTTCAAGCATTTTATGTTATTGTTAAAAATGAAGGAGTTCGTGGTATTCAAAAAGGATTAGGTAAAAAGGTATTCGGCATCAATTCACTCATTTCATTCAAGTAACAAATTTTTCTTGAAATTGTTTAGGGGCAGCCTATGCATACCAATTAGTGATGAATGGGGCTCGACTTGGATTTTATGATCCAATAAGAAATTCACTTGAAAAATTTTTTAATACGTCAAGTACTTCAATGCCAATTAGTATGCTCTCAGGATTTTTAGCAGGGTCATTTGGAGCAGCGATAGGATCTCCACTTTACCTTGTTAAAACTCGTATGCAATCATATTCAACCTTTGCAGCAATTGGGCATCAGCATAATTATAAAAATACTTTTGATGCTCTTCATAAAATAAGTAAAGAAGAAAGATACTTCAAAGGACTTTTTAGAGGAGTTGATGCTGCTATGATTAGAACTGGTGTTGGATCTTGCACTCAATTGTCAAGTTATTTTTTTATAAAACGTTCTGTGATTAAATATAGTGGAATGAGTGATGATAATATTTTGGTACACGCTCTTAGTAGTTTGGTAAGCGGTTTCTGTGTTTGTTTCACTATGAATCCTTTTGACGTAATTAGCACTCGTATGTATAACCAAAAAGCTGATCAAAGTGGAAAAGGAAGGTAAGAACATGTAAAAAACATTGATATATTATTTTTTTAAAAAAAAAATTTTAACTGGAAGTTTATTTTTGTAGTTTGTATAAGAACACGTTAGATTGTTTTATAAAAACTCTTAGAGCTGAAGGAATATTTGGATTTTACAAAGGATTCGGTGCTCATTACTTAAGGATAGGGTAAATCATGAAATCTTTTCATTTATACTTACTTTATATATTGTAAATGAGAAATGCAATTTACCTTAACTTTTTTTTTTTCTAGACCTCATACAATTTTAACTTTTGTATTTTTGGAACAGTATCGTGGTTTATACATAAAATATACAACTTAACATATTTAACAGACAATCGTTTGGTAAAATATCATTAGTTTAAATCTCTAATTTTCCTGAATAGATGAGATAATAGATATTGATCAATTTTTAAATAAAGGCACACATGGCATTTAATAATGGCTAATGCAAGATTATATTTTTTTTTAATTCAATATATATTGTATATAAACAAATACATAAAATATTCAATTACAAAATTGTTCATAAATAAAATAGTAAAAAATTAAATTACAAGTCTATTTGTCATGAATGAATTTTACAAAGTAGAGGCGGCTCCATAGAACTCTTAAAAAAAAAAAGAAAAAAAAATTCGGATAAATTCTGGGCCGGCCACAGAAGAGTGTTTATTATTATTATTATGTACTATCTGTTATGCATTTATGTATACAAATATTATACGGATATATAAAACTAATAAAATATTAATATAAACATTAACATAAATATAATGACAAATTGAAATATACAAAAATGGTAAAAATTTTCAGAAAACTGTGCTTTATGCAGTGTCAAAAAAAAAAGTCCCGAAATCCAACAAACTTCGATAATTAATTAATTAATTTATATTATACAATTTCTCATAAAAATCTATTATTGTTTCGCAGTTACTATCTTGATGAGCATGAATCCAAAGATATTTTCCTCCTATATTACAATAGCGTTCTTCACGTGCAACCAAATAAGTTAATATAGCTTGATCTTGACGATGATTTTTCCTATTACTTCCAACTGGTGCAATACAATTTTTATCAAGTGCACATGTGTACCATTCATTAATAATATGTTGAGTCATTTTAGTGTCAAATGCTACAGAAGCACCACTACAATTTGGAATATTATCATATTTTGAAGCGTCATCGTTATAATATTCATAAACCCCTGGATGTGTCCAATTTTTCATAAAACCGGATGAACGAGGTGAAAGAAATCCATTATACGTTTTTAATAAAGTAGGTAATTCTTCAAAAAATATTCTTTCAGGTAATGTACCAGAATCTAACCATGTAATAATCCCTGGAAATTCTTTCGATACTTCCGCAACTATAGCAGGTTTCCATGCATATTCACCGCGTGCTTCAGAGATGTTCCAAAATGATGGAAAATTTGTAAAATCGAAGACGCGTATTTCATCAAAAAATCCATTATCCTTTAAACTTTTTAATTCATCTCGTTGAATTTCTGTTAGACCTAAATCATAAATTATCACTCTTGCATTTAAACCTTTTAGAGTACCTTTTAAATTATAAATAAATCCTTTAACTGGGCAAAAGTGGTTTTCACTTGCGCCAGTAACGACTGTAAATGCGTACTCATTTTCTTTTGGAAATTCTTGTTCTGGTTCCTCATGGTTGTTATTCGCTATTACAATCTTTACAGCTTCTGTCGATTCACCTATATCCTCTTTATTCGAAGTTTTTGCAATCACATCTAGTGGATCAACAATTTAGATTACTTTAGAATTATTTTATTTCGCATAAATTAATGTTTAATTAAGTAGATTCTCAAAAAGCTTACCTGAAAATTTTATGTTTTGATGTAAACCGGTTAGCGATATTATTATAAAGAACGTCAAAAATATGATCTGAAGTAATCTTATAGCTTTTTTTCGACCACCTCCATCCATTCTCGAAAATAATAATTATGATATAATAAAAAAAATAAAATAAGTAATAAAGAATTCTCTAGAGAAAAAAAGGAATGTATGCGTAAGACATAAAAAGTTTGGTTTTTTTTATTATTTCCAACATCTTCTGTTCAACAAATACTTATATTTCTTTTTTTTTTTTTTTATATGTCTAATTATAACTGACGCACATCAAAGTAAGGGTTATGTGAAATGAAATTCAATTAGTACTGCATTAATATTCAATCGATCATTTGAAACTCACACCTCCAAATTTAGATAATAATTTAAATTACGGTTTTGAATCCTGTAAACAATTGGTTAAATTGGTTAATCGATTTCACAAAGGCACATTTATTTTAATTTTCCAAACTCCGAAAAAAAACAAAGATGGATTCTTGGTTCTTTTTAACTAAGAATTTATTTATTATTGTATTCCGGCCTCCGAATATTAAATAAATTATTTTTAGAACAAAATAAAAAAAATGCCAAGAAAAAAAAAAAAAAAATGTAAATAATAATATACAACAATGGTCGTACCTAAACCAAAAACAGCATTTGGTTTCGTACCCGAGATCTTGTATACATATTATACAGTAAGGGATCTGTTTCAATTTTGATAGGTTCTTTCTCTTGGCAATGGATTAACCAATATCTTTAATTATACAGTCTGTAAATTAGGATAATACACTATTACTCAGAAATTACATAAATTACAGTATAATACCAATGCTACGGAAAGGAGTATCGAGTTGGCGTGATGAGTAGAGTATAACACGAACGGCCAAACACGTGATTCAAAGTGGCCGAGATGCTATTCGTCATCTGGGTATGTTTCACACCGTTTATGTTACACATGGCTAAATATCATCATACGCTACTCAACATGCCGACCCGACCATACTCCTTTCTGTAATACCGGTGAAACTTTTCAATTTTTATTGAATGTCTAATCCCACTTGTATTTCCCTTTCGAAATGTGTAATTTTGAATAAGGAAATGAATTCATTCTAATAAGGTAATATATAAATGATTTTCATTAACCGAATAAAAATAATGATTTCCAAATCGGGGTTCTTTATTTATAAAATATATATGATTGGTGAATTTTTTTTTTTGTGAATTAAAAATAACTATCTGTGGAATTTTTATCACTAATAAAATTATTATCGGTTTAAAAACAAATATTTTTTTTTTCTTACTTCTTTTATTATCTTTGAAACAACCAAGTTAAAAACTTTATCCAAATATTTTCGTATTTTCTGTGACAAAGATTGGGTTTCCACGATTTGTTTATGAAAAATAAAACACGGATCAACATTCTTTATAGGGTCTAACTTTAATGCTTTCGTTGACACTTGACAACTTTTCCGTTGTCAACATTGTCAACATTAGAATTACGTAAGCTAAATTTGTCAATATTTTTTTAAGAGGGCGGTTTTCATGAATATGAATGAATCGGATTATTAGAAATATGTGTATAAACAATGTGGTAGGTAAAACATACTAATCAGAAGATATAAAGTAGTTAACAGCATGTAAGCACAAGTTTAGTTAATAAAAAAAATGTGGCTTACTCTTTAAACTCACGCTGTGATCGTCATAGAGCATAAAATGTAAGTAATTAATATTACAATGTTTTAATAACAATAAGTACAATTATAGTAAATTATCTATTGTGTTAATAAAAATAGAAATTATTGGTCAATTATTTGTGATGTCTCGCACCTCAATGAAATTCTAATAATTAATTGACTCTAACTACGTTCAAAAGCATTGGACAATGATCACATCAACCAACTATTGAAAGTACTTATTCTAATTTCCATACTTTAAAATCATCATCATCAACATTACATCCGTTCACCTTTAATAAATCATTGTGATCTCCATTTAACCAATCATTATCAAATAAATTATTTGGAAATGTTTCTTTGATATAACACTCAACGCCAGAAATATGCAAAGAATATTCTCTCCACCAAATTTTTGTGTTCTTCCCAATATAATGTAAATGAAACGATGGTAATTTATCCAGATACCTAAAAAAGTGAATTATAAATTAAATCATTACTTTGTTTAACGTAAACCTCCCCCCCTCTTTTTTTTGGTACATAATTTAGGCCATAATGCCACCATAATTAGAAAAGATCATTTAATTTAGGCCAGAAATTAATGAATAAATCAATTCTGGTCAAAATTCCAGCCAATCTGTGTTATGTTAAACAGAGTGTTTCAAATAACTTACCTAAACAATTGACCAATTCCGAAACCATCATTTTCAATTAATTGTACAATATTATAATCTCTAATAATAACATCACTTTTAGCATTACAAACAATTTTATCTTCACAAATAAGATTTACTTCTCTATCAAATCTTTTTAAGATTGGTTTTATTTTATCATCATTTTTTTTTGTATTATTGTTATAATTAACATCATTATTCAAAATTATTGTTTCATTTATAGTGACCGAGGTTTTAACTTGTAAATCTGTTTTAGTATCAACCATATTGTTTTTTACAATGTCTACCCTAACTGTTTTATTAAACCAAGAACTATAATAATATATTATTAAATATTGTTTTCAATACATAATAATAATTATCAATTAGCATTATCGAAAGTTTTATATCAAACCTTAATATTCTTTGTAAATTTCCATTGGCAGTTAAACAAATTCTTTCTAACCCAGAAAATTCATCGGGTAATAGCAACGAAGTTGCTCTCGACGACATAACATCACCAAAATTATTAGGAATTATCTTACGAGGATCAATAATATTTTCCGATTTATTATTGGACATAATTAATTTGACGTTTATTTAAAAAATAGTAAAGTGAAAGAAAATAAAAATTAAGTAAATAAATGACCTTTTATATACAAATTATAATGTATGTAGATCTAAAAAAAAACTTATCGGATCGTACTTAAAGGAAAATAATTTTAATCCGATGATCTTAAACTGGCACATGATTTTCAATGAAATGCATGTAATAAAGTGATGGCTCTTTTGAAATCGTCAGCGATAATGCATATACGCGTGCGAATGCTGTCATTTCTAATTTTATCAGTGCAAGGACAGCAAAAGTTGACAATCTTTAAATTTTTTTTTAAATGTTTTAAATTAAGGATTTGCTTTACTATTTAAAACATAGCAGATGACAAATTATCGTTATTAATACTCAATGAAAATGAGTTGAATCCCTTTCTGATTATTAATTATTTTTTCCTTTGAATTTTTATTGGTGGAGAAATCCAAGATTCCCAATCTGATTCATTTAAAATATTTCCAAACATTTTTAAAGCACTAATTTTTAAATAATAAATTCCAACATCAAAATAACTCTTAAATCCATTTTTCTTATTTTCTAAATCAACAATATTACCATTCCATTCATAATATAATATTTGATTAAATCTAGTTTTAGTAAGATATCTAGTGATACCAACTAAATGTAAATTTACTCTTGGTATTCTTCCAATGATTTTTTTATCGAAATTTAATGCATAAATTAATAAAAGTTTTGTTGGTGTTGAAATTACCATGGTTATTATTGGTCTATTTTTCGAGTTTTCCATCGTGAATATTGTAGGTGTTGTTGTATTCGATGATATTATCTTGTTTGATTTTCTTAATTGTGGAAATTCTGGTTGTCCTAATATTGGAAGTGACTTGATATCACCAGCGAAACCAGCTAAGCAAATAAAAAAAATTTTTAAGTAATGATTATATATGATTTTTATAAAATAAAAATTTTTGATTTACCGTACGGAATTGTAACAGCTATCGCGGATTGTTTTATTGGTTTCACTTGAATGAATCCACTATAAAACCATCCATGTTCAATTAAATCCTTTGGTGATGAAATAGTAAAATAAGTTCTAACACTACTGCCAGGTTGCACGGTAACTTTATCTTTAACAAATTTTACAATCGCAGCAGAATGATTGAATTTCATATAATTAGTTCTTATACTTCTAGTTCCATTATACCCATTAATAGAAATTGCAGGACAATGTTTAAGATTATAAGTGATTACTCTTTTTCCATTATTATGGATATCTAAATATTTATAACTAAACGATTTATCATATAATAATATTCTAGTGGGAGTGATTAAAGTTGAACTTATTATGGAATTATATACATTAATTAATCCTGTTCCTTGTTGAAGAACTGACGCTTTTTCTTTATTTTTCATATCATATATTGGATTTGCGTATATAGTTAACATGTTGCGTGCATGTCGTGAATTTTTAGATGGATTCGCTTCCATATAAAGAGCTAACGCACCTGCTACACAAGCCGTTGACTGGAAATATTTTTAAAAAAAGGACAAAATATAATAATTTAATAAGTTTATAAATAAAACATACCATGCTGGAGCCTGAAAGTTGCGCATAACTTCCAAGGGGTACAGGATATGTTGAAAATATCATCCCACCTGGTGTTACAATTTCCTACCAAATTATCAATAAAATAAAAATTAAATAGAATTTAAAGCGAACGAAGCCTTATAAAGAAAAATATCATAAAAATAACTTACAGGCTAAGTAATTATCGGATTAAAAAGAATAAAAAGTAGGAAAGAAATTTAATACAAATAAAATTTTCTTATATATTGTTATACAGTATATATAGTATAACATTCAGTATTATTACCTTAATGTCTAATAAATTAGATAAACCCCAAGAAGAATAATAAGACATTGAATAACCTAAAGGATTAGGTAATACATGTCCTATTTTTTCTGAAAAATCCATTTCTAAATCATTATTTTTCTTTTTTCTTTCTTTAATTAATTGAGCAGTAATAAGGTTTATTGTAGCTGTTGGTATTTTTATTTGTTCATTATTAAAATTCGCTGTAGTTGGACCAAGTGTTTCATTTCTTATTATTATTAATATTGCTCGCGCATTAATTATTTGTAAAATTCCCAACTAAAACGAAAAAAAAAAAATCGAGTTAACCCTTTTTAAAATGGTAAAAAGAAAAAAAAATTGAAAAATGTGTCAGTTAGTTACCCATGGACAACTAAGAGGCGATGTTTCTAAGTTAACCATGACAACTTTATTTTCGTATATCATGAAATTTTCTGGACATATATGATCTGGAAAAATTTCTATTTTAGCTGAAGGAAAAGTAAATGCTCTCGCAGAAACAGTAACATAATCTAGGTAAGTTAAGTAAGAATTTTAAACTTGGTAATAAAGTAAAACATTTTACAAATATTCATTTCAAATATTGAAATAAATATGTTAAAAAATTATTACCGATACTAAAATTCTTATCCGAGACGTCATAAGCTTTAAAACTTAAATAATGAGTATTTTCAATTGATGCAACTGCTATGGTTTCTCTTCCAAGTAAAGTTCCTCCAGATTCAAAGATTCCTTCAGTTCCGTAATTACCATTAGCCGTAACTACAATGATTCCGTATTTCGTTAATGCATCTGCCATCTCTGAAAGTGGATTCACAGCCCATCCATTTCCTCCCTACACGTATCAACAAGATTCATTTATATAATCTTATGCGAAAAAAAAAATAATAAAATTTACCAATGATAAATTAATTATATTCATTCCATCATCTTTAGCTCTTTGCAAAGCTGTCATAATAACATCTCCTTCACCTTGCCCATTACAATTCATGACACGATAAGCTCCAAATGTAATTTGAGGTGCTATTCCGATAAATCCACTATGCATCGAATCATTAGCTCCTATTATTCCTGAAAAAGAAATTATCATAATTTAGCCCTAGACTTAATATAATGATTTAAATTGTAAAAGAAAGCACGAACCTGCAATGTGAGTTCCATGTCCAGAACATATATCACGTGGATTCCAGGTGTTTTCTAAATAATTATAACCATATTCAACTTTACATCCAGGTCCAAAACACCCTCCTAACGCTGGATGTAAATAATCAATTCCTAAAATGTAAAATTCACAAGAAAAAATAAAAATTAATTCAAGCTAAGAAAAATTTATATATATTATATAGTTACCAGTATCTATAACTCCAACTTTAATTCCTTTACCATAATATCCAAATTGTTTATGAACTAAATCTACACCAATCATTTTATGTATAGTATTCAAATTCGCTTCTTTAGTAAGATTTAATGGTGTATTCGTTGTCCAATCTCGTTTATCGAAAAACATTTGTGTGTATTTTGATTTAATCATATTGAAAGAAATTGGTGGTATTCGATGTTTTTGCTTTAAAAGAAAAAAAAAATTTTTTTTAATAAAAGATCAATCTAAATAAGATAAATATTGCGACACGAAGAAATATTTACAACAGGTTCAACGCTTTGTACTCCATTTATTTCTACAATACTTTTTAAATCATCATCTTTAGCTTCAAAAGTTATCGCATTAATTAATTCATGAAATTCATATCTAATAGTAATATTTAATCCTTTTTTCTTTATCTCATCATAAAAGTATTCATGTTGTTTAATAACATTGAGTTTTTTATTATCATCTTTATACGATGGAGGTAATGAAAATTTTAATAAATATGCATTTTCAACAATTTCTACATGTTTTGTAGCACGTTTTATTATCCCTTTAGCTTTTATCGCTTGTACACAATAAATTATTATTATTATTAAATAAATAAGAAATCGATTCATTGTGTTATTTTTGCATGATGGGACCGAAAAATGTTTAAAAGAAAAAAAAAATTTTTTATTTACATCTCATTATGTCTTTACTGTTCCTCACCTCGCGCACTTCGCGACTTCGCCACGCACTCAGCCTCAAAACTTTTTTAAATTCTAAATAATTTTCGTAGTCACAAATAATTGATTTTAATTTGTGTTATAACTAACAGCTAATGATTTTAATTATCTATTCAAAATAGCCGATGAAATTTATTAATTAACACGTGACCAGTATGCTCATGTAACCAAAATTCTAGAATAATTAGAAAATATCTACAATAAATAAAATATATATTATCTTTTTCTCATAATTCATTTTGTAATCATAATGATAATTTTTTTTTTAAATATATAGAGTATATATTAATATAATTAATTGATGAAAGTTTATGGAAGGGAGAAAAAAACAAAACCATTAAAAAAAAAGAAAAAAAAATTCAAAATTGGATTGGGGATTAATACTGTTACAATATTATTATAATTGTTCTTATTTTAAACTTTAAAAAATTGTTATCCCAAATAAATGATCACCTCAAAGATCATTGCCTGCTTTCATTTGCGAATTCAGAATATTCCCTGACATGACGTGTACGTCGATGCTTTGCTCTTTGATACTTGTATGTAAGAGTCATTATATCCTAAAATTACGAAAGATTAATCGTTAAAATCATGAATCATAAAAACATGATAAAAAGAAATTCACTTAAAAATTTTAATATACCTTGAATACTATGAAAAGACATCCACCGAGTATATTTCGATGAAATGTGTCAGGAATACGCCCACGAACAAATGGGAATTTACCAAGGAAACTATAAGAGATAATACATTAATATGTGTTAAAGGATTTCAATTCAAACAATATATGACGCATTATTTACCTTCCAACCATAGCAGAGATGACTATTTTAGAAACAAGTAACGTAAGGTTAATAAATATTTAAATAGTAAGAATAAATTTATCATTAAACAATTAATACTTACATGGTAAGCATAACGCTCCAACAATTTTACGGCCAGCATTACTGCGATCTAAACGATCCAAGACATCTTGATCATTGCGAGGCCGAATATTACCGTTCTCGCCATTTTCAATTTCAGTCGGATTAATATATGGTTCAAGTTGTGAGCGCCATTCTTGTTCAAGACGACCAAATGCTCGTTGATATGACCAATTGTAAATAATTCTAGCCCATGGTAATAGGGAAATTGTAAAAGATGGATTTGGGGGCATAGTTAACCTCAGTTGGTTCATCCTTATAAATAACATGGGAATAAGAGGCATAACAGGATCGGCAAAACGAGCTCTCGAAAATATAAGAAATACAGGGACAAGAGGAAGAGTAAACTATAAATTAAAAAAAGAGTTTAATATCAAAATTCTAATATGTATAACTAAATATTACTGCGGCTGATCAACAGATAAAAAATTTATTCTTTTGAAATTTACACATATCCTCCAGCTCCATGGTTCTTCCAAAAGTCGCTCTCCTTCTTCAAGGCCTACCATTGTAATTGTGGCATATGCCCTGTAACAATTTATAAAATAAATAAGAATTACGTTTAATTAAAATAAATAAAACAAATAATTAAAATAATCATTTACTAACCCATAATGAATATTAGTAATTGCAACAGCAAATGTAACACCAAAAATGGTGAAATATGGGATTGAAGATTGAATCGTAGAATCTACGACGGTAAGGAATTTTAAAAGATATGAAGTTTGTTCGGCAAGATGATATACGGTCTTGCATTGAGGACATCGAACCTATGGAAATAATATATTTTTTTTGAAAATTTAAAAATAATTTATAATTTATCTATTTATTTGGTGGAAAAATATCGGCCATCCTGAAAGAATTATTGTATAGTCTATTTGTTAGTATCGAAAACACTATCAAATATATGATATTGTCCAAAACAATAGAAAATATAACCAATAGACTATACAATTATATTCTTTAAAATTGTTACACACCTTTCTAAGAGCTGTATTTCTCTGTTTTTCTGTTATCCAATTTAACAGGCATTCTTCATGACTTATTAATGAGCACCTGCATGCTTTAACCCATTTTCCCTCGCTATCAGAATCTTCACCAAAGCAAATCCAACATCTCTTATGTTCTGTTTCCTCAAAATTATTATTACTCGTTGTAAGATCAATACTAGTAGCTGGTTGGGTCGAAGAGGAAGTACTAGCTATTGAATTTAACTGTTCACCAAATTGACCGTCATATGTTACAAGTCGACTAGAAGAACTTTCGGAATCTTCATTAGAAAATTCTATAAGAGGTGGTGAAGAAGACGATTCAGCGCGATCAACACGAGCGTATTGAGAAAATGGTGTCGAAGACATTTTCGAACAGAAAGAGGATCAGTTATAACAGATGCTAAAAAATATTAAAAAGATCGGTTATTAAAAAAACTCAAAGAATTTAAAGATAATTAAGCTTTACACAAGAAAATCAAAGAAAACTCTGTACGTTTTGCACGATAATTCCAGAAAATTAATTGTTTTTACTAAATCCTTTAACGTCTGCTTTAAAAGATCGTCAAACTTGATTAAACTATAAAAAACCGATCCAAAACTTTTCACAAGACTTTCAACTATTAAACAAAGAAGAAATTTCCTTGAATATTTCACCAAAAGACCTCAAAGAAGACATAATCTTGCAAAAAAATAGAAAAAAAAAAATCCACTTACAAGAAAATTAGCAACATAAGAACTGTTCATGTTTTAAGAATTATTTATATAATCTTATTCCGAAATATTCCGAGATCAAGTACATGTCACAAGGGAGTGCAAAAGTTTACATTTACGTAATTAATAAGGTTACACGATATATAATTATGGACAATGGCAAAAGTAGTTAACTTTTTATACACAATCGTCATGTTTTTGTACGGCAGTCGATCTTTACCAATTATTAAATGGAGCAGCCGCATCAGTATAAAAATAGCTTTTTTTTTTTCTTTTTTTCAAATTTAATCATGTCTGCTTTAACCTATAGGACTACTATCTCACCATCCTTGAATGAGGCTAGAAAACGAGTACTCCAATTATACAGAGACTGGCAACGCGCTGTAATAAAGCTTTTTGCAAGCCTAATTTGCTTGAGTTTTATGTTACATACTAACAAATATTTAAATATTTTTATTTAATAAAAGAAAGGCTCCAAAAGTAGTTTCAAGATACCTTCTTGATGTTCCAGTATCAGCCGTACGAGCAAAAATTAGAGAAGAATTCGAAAAAAATCGAGATGTGGAAGATTTACGTGCGATTGACGTTTTGATTTTTAAAGGTCGAGCAGAATATCAAGAAACTATAAATATTTGGAAAATGGACACACACATAATGAACTATTTTTCAAAAGAAGAATCACCACCCAAACCACGAGGATTTTTAGAAAATTTTTATGGTAAATTAAAAATATTTATCATATCCGTATTCATATGCATATATATAATTATTAATTAACAATCATTTTATTATTCTTTATGATTTGATTTTTAAGAAGGTAGAGATTAATTACTTTAACGAATATAAGTCAAACTTTGCAATTATCTGTGGCAGTTTATATATTTCTTTGATGAGCACGAAGAATGTTAAAAAGAGCCAATTTAAGATAATGTTTTATTTGTCATCTGATTAAGTTTTCAATTACGATGGTTCAATAAAAATCAGGACAGGTTAAAAAATGGTTTATAAGCACAATGTAATTTTTTAATAATTTATAATTTATGATAATAAAATGAAACAATTAAAGAAGTTGAAATATAAATTTCCTTAAAGATAAAGGATTCATGTAAAAGAACTAATTAAATTATAAATAGTCTCTAATAAAGTAATTTAATTATGTATAAAATTTAATTATTTCATTTCTTTCCATTTTACAAAAATAAATGAATGTATCACCGCAATAACCATAAATTATCTCCCTAAACGAAGAAAAAAAATCAAACAACGAAAGTGCAAGTTTGACATCACACAATAAAAAGGGAGGCAGAAAAGGTTCCATTTAAATAAATGAAAAATTTTAAGAATTTTTCATACATTTGTTGTGGATAACTAAAGTTAACCATAAGATATATGAAAATTGCATGTGATTTACTTTATGGTTAACTTAGTTATCCACAACTTTTCGTGTAAAGGAGGGTTTAAATTAGTTTGAATTTGAACGTTTCACGTCGGAGTATTAAATATCTGGGTTCCGTAATGATGTAATGATGATAATGATGATGATGATAATCAATTTTACAATTGATAAAATGACGCGAACGAATTTTATCGAAGTTCGATTCTTTTATTTTCATTTATGTATTTATATTTTTAAATAGAGATTTAGAAATAAGAAAATTTATAGGATTTAGAATTAATAGAATTTTATTTTTTTTTATTTTTTTTAAAAAAATTTATAAATTTAATTTCAACTTTTCGAAGGTTTTTTTATATATTTGAATTGTGATTATTAAATAATAACGAGTGATTATGAGTGATTATTAAGAATGATAGAATATAAATATGGTAATCGCAATTAGGCAAATCAAACCCATTTTTGGTTTAATAAAAAAATTACAGTATTATAATTTATTATGTTATAATACAATGTCGATCTCCTGCATGCTATTGATTCTATCATATAAAATTAAACCTGTACACCAACTTGCATAAAGTCTTCATCACTTGTTTTTTTCATTGCCATTTTAGTTCTAATCTACAGTTTCTTTTTTTCAAATTACGCAAGTTACGCCAAGATTCTCATGAAATTACTTTAAATATACAATCTTTTTGGAAAATCATGTTCTGGACGGAATTCTTTCGCGTATTTCAAAGAAAGAACTCACTTGAATAATGGATGCAACTTAGTCACTTTGCATAATACTTCTATTGTTTCTTCGCCTGTATGAACTTCTAAAGAGATCATGATGGAATAAAGTTTTGATTTTATTTAAAAATAAGTTTGCATACAGCATACTGCCAAACTGCCTTATCTGCGCGTCAGTTTTTCAAATTTTTTAAAACAATGAAAAACATGTTTCTGTCTAATTTGAACTGTTTTCATTTATGCTCATTTTGCTTATCTGTTTATTTTAAAGTTGATTGATATCTTTACTGCGCGTTTCAATCGTTTCATTGAAAATGAGAAAAACTGTAATAAAAAAAAGGGTTAGCCCATTTTTATTACGCGTTAATGCGCTATAAATGTATCACAAACACACTTTAATGAGAAATAAAAGTGATAACTGTTAAAATTTGAAACGACGTCACAAAAAAAGAAAGTTTATGACGTTAGTCATATGTTTGGTGTAATAACTGATACCTTTATATCTCCTATATTACCATTTTTAGATATAATTCCAAGTTCTTGTTTTTTTTTACAAGTTTTTTTTTTTTCACTTCACTATTCGTTAATAACTTTCCTTGACATTCGTAAACAATTCCAAAAAATTTGTTTATGTAATTTTATGTATATATGTAAAGACGTTACTTTTTCATTTCAATTCTTTTCAAATAAAAGAATTTTGAAATCGTTAATAATAATTAATCTCGCGTTTGTGAAATTAAAATTTTTTATTTACCAAATTAATTAATTTTCCGTAAAATCTGGTGTACACAATGAATCGATATCTGGTCATGACTCTTGAACATATGCTTCTTTAAGCTTTTAACTCCGATAATTTCATGGGTTGATTTTGATTAGAGTGAGGGTTGCGTCATATCTTGTATCTTTAGCCGCGTTATCATCTTTAAATAAAAGTTTTGGAGTAGAATTTCAAATATTTTAGGTTTGTTTTGTAGTTTAAAACTCATTAAAAGGGTGTTTTTTTTATTTAACTTATTCGCCTCCATTATAATAATATGGCCTTTATTTAGCTGTACAGTCAGACCTCTATAATTGTACTCTCCATAATTGCACCCACTATGTATACCCTCTCTAAATGCACCCTCTGGTTCGGTCCTAAGCTTATATGATCTCTAATTATTTTACCTCTATAAATGCACATCCTCTTTAAATGCACTATTTTGAAAATTATGCATATGGTCCCAAGGGGTGTGCAATTATGGAGGTCTGACTGTATTATCATTTATTCCAATATTTACGAAATATTCTATTCTTTGAATATCAAATTTAGGATTCTACAAATCATGAATCTTTTTCTTAAAGATTAATTGGCTATACAACAAATTTAAAATGTAAAGATTTTAAATATAGCGTACATTCAAAAGATAATTTGACTTAGATATTGTCTATTGAACTTACAATTCATTCTAAATTTTTAATTAACAATTATTCTTCAATTTTATAGGTCTAAATATGCAATATATAATATATTCGACATATTCGAAATTTGTAACTTAACAAGGTATGATTTTATTTATTTATTACATAATAATTTTTTTTTCGCCGGTTTTTGCCACGATCTTTGGTTAATTTCTCTCTTTTTTTTCTTTAATAATATCTTTCCTACAAAACGTATACCGCAATCTTCTTATAATTTTATTTTCAAATCTAATATTAATTTTTTAAAAAAAAAAAATCGTTGTTTTAGACGTTTTATCGATTATTTAAGGATTATTTAAAGTCTATTTATGAATTCATCCATTATAATAAAAGGATGTGATATATTCGAGGATTATCCTTTTTTCCGGATTTTAAAAGATTTACCGATTTTACAGGTATCTTGCATTTTTATGCATTTAATTTTAATAAAACTAAATAGATAAAGTTAAGATTTTAAATGATTTACATTAACTGCATTCATACATTTGGTCAGACAAAATCGTAATAATGATTTTTACCCTTTTTTCTTGAAATTTTCTAAAATTTATTTTTATTTCTTTTATTTAGTTACGGCGATATAATTTTAAATAGGCAACCATCACCTTTATAAACTACCGATTTTCATTCTTCAGTTTTCGCGATCAATAACCTATTATTATGCAAGAAGATCTAACAATGGCAACATGCAACATACAAGCACTGTTAGATCTGACTAAGGGAGAACAAGGATTTGGATCTGTCATTGCACAAACTATTCTCGAAGACATTTAGTAAACAATAAAAGAACTATATTACCGTAAACACACCAAAAAACTATATAGCAAGGTAAGATCTATTTTTTTTAAAAAAAAAAAATGTTTGCGTTTTGAGAACGAAACAAACAAATACAGTCACTTTATTAATTTTTAATTTTGTATTTTAAAGCATTCTGAACTTTTTTACATAATGACATCGGTACTTTGACACAAATTGGATGATGGAATCTACTTAAATTAATACTTACTGCGGTGCAGCAATAAACCATTAATATAAATACGCGCATTAATAACACCGTTCGTTATCATCAGGTTAGTTTTATCGATGATTTTACATAATACCCGTGATATTAATTGGTGAACTAGTGAGGACTTATTGGACTTATTTAAATTTCTGCATGTACTATTAATATAGGAGAGACTATATCCATAAATTTTGAGGTTAGTAACCGTTTATATTACATGCTCGATTTGCAATAAGCGTTTAAAAGAGTAGGTAAATTACTTTTTATTTAACTAAAAAAAAATTTTCAATTATAAATTTTTTTTTCTTTGTTTCACAATTGAAAATTAATATTATATTTCACTAATTCTGAATATCAATATGAATTACGGTAAAACCCCTCTTTTTTTCGTGAATTCACAATATAATAATTAAGGACCCAATTAATAATCATAATAATTTTATTTATTCTTTTCTTTCTTCCCTTTCTTTTGAGTTAATATATTTAGTTTTAAATGGCTACTTCATAATTATAATTGAATTTATCATTTTTATTGATCTTCGTTTACGAACTTTAATCATATCTTATGATTCCTGCAAGGGCACTTTTTTTAACTTCCAAATGAGTAAAGCAAAGCCATCAATATGATTATATTAATCACTAGACTGAAAATGATTATGTTAAGAGATTAATTAATCGCTTGCTCACCAATTTATATATTAAAATAACTTTAATATCATTTTAATATTCTATCCACAAATTAAAAGATTTGGAAAGATTTTAAAAAAATTTTGACAAGTAGCCTTCTTGTTAATATGTTACTTAAATTGTTTTAATTTAATATTATAGTTTATAATGTTTTCACTATTTTTTGTAACTTAAACATTACAGCTACATTTATTATTCTTAAAGTCGAATTAAATGAAAAAAAAAACTTGATGAAATAAAGATAGTTATCTTAAAATTGCAAAGAAAAGGCAACTTATTATCTGGGCCTTTTGAGATAATTATTAAATAAAATCAAAAATTATGAATTTTAAAATATTGTTTTAAATACTGTAGAAAAGTATCATGACAATTGTTAAAGAAACTGTGAAATTGTGAAATTATTTAATATTTAAAAAATATATTGAAAAATTTAAATTTTTCATAGAATATATAGTATTTACTGAAGAATTCAATACTTGTTATTTTATATTTAATTACATAGTTTAATTATTATTTATATCAAAAGAGAAAATTCAGAATTAGTTAAAATTCAAATAATTAAATTATAATATCAATAATATCAATTTGCATTTTCACTAATATTATTATTATTTAAATTAATTTAATTTAATAATAACAGAATAGATAATAACAAATATTTTAATAATATTAATAATTATTAACTCACCAAAAATTGAAAATTTCAATATTTTATAATATTATAAATCAAATTTTATTAATATTTATTATAACTTAATACATTATTTTATATTTTTATCACTTATATCTCATATTTTAATTTAAAAAATAATTCATTTAATTATAATTTTTATAAATTCTTCAAATGGATTTTTAAAAAAGTTATTTTATAATTACCTTTAAAATTA